TAGAATAGAATAGAATAGAATAGAATAGAATAGAATAGAATAGAATAATCTTTATTGGCCAAGTGTGATTGGACACACAGGGAATTAGTCTTGGTGCAAATGTTCTCAGTGTACATAAAAGAAAAGATACATTCATCAAGAGTCAAGAATCATCAGGTACAAGTCTTAATGATAATCATAGGGTACAATAAGCAATCAAATCATACTAGGAAACAGTCAATCAAAATATATATATACAGAGAGCAAACCCCATTCCTTTCTAGCACTGATTATGTTACCTAGTTGGGTAATGAAACGTCTGCAAGAAAGCACCCAAGCTCTGAGAACACCAAGGACCCCTCATTTCAACCCTGAGCTGCAAATATTCTCCTTTTATCGATATTAATATGAGGCTTAGTTTAGGCCCTACATCTGGTCATTTGCAATTATATTACGGGAGAATGCAGCAATTCTGGTTTAGCCTTCTGTATCTAAGATCCTTGCTATCGATCTGACTCTAAGGTTAAGAGTTATTCAAGCACCAGTCATCTTGATTTCAGGAATGGTGTTTCTATTTAACATGACTAGAACCGATCGCCAGCACCATATTTAGAAGCCATTAATTGCACAATTTAATTATGTGCAGGCTACATCAACTTCACTTAGCAAGAGAAGGCGCTTAACAAAGGCAAACTTACTGAGTTACTTTTTTTCTGCACATAATTCTGGACAAGCAAACTCTCCGCAGATATTGCCCCCCCCCAAAATGTAATAACTAAACATCAAATCCAGAGGCAAAAGAAGAGGTGATTAATGGCCCAGTCATTTCGAGTGGGACACGGTGAACATTCTGCATGTTTGCGTAAAACCATCCACTTCCATGAACTTTTCTATAAATCAAACTCGTTCATAAGAACGGCATATTAACACCAGCTCCATAAAACAAGTTTCCTTGCTGAATCCGGAATCAGAATACGGTTAGCATAAAGATAAGTTACTAATTTTAATGGAAACTGAGGCTGGGGAGGTAGGTATTTCTGAAGCGTGGAAGCACAAAATGTCATTTGCTAGCTTACAGGAAATGCAAGTCATGAAAATTATATTGTTGGCTCTCTTCAATAGGCAGAGCATGGAAATATTGTTATTAAAGAGGGGGGGTTTCTGGTTAACAAGGATACTATTATTAAAGAGTGCAGAGGAGAGAACAAAAGATGATTAGGGGACTGGAGGCTAAAACATAGAAAGAACCGTTGCTGGAATTGGGTTTGTCTAGTCTGATGAAAAAAAGGACTAGGGGAGACATGATAGCAGCCTTCCAATATCTCAGGGGCTGCCCCAAAGAAGAGGGAGTCAAGCTCTTCTCCAAAGCAAATGAGGGCAGGACAAGAAGCAATGGATGGAAGCTAATCAAGGAGAGAAGCAACCTAGAACTAAGGAGAAATTTCGTGACAGTTAGAAGAATTAACCAGTGGAACTCCTTGCCTCCAGAAGTTGTAAATGCTCCAACACTGGAAGTTTTTAAGAAGAGATTGGACAACCATTTGTCTGAAGTGGTATTGGGTTTCCTGCCTAAGCAGGGGGTTGGACTAGAAGACCTCTAAGGTCCTTTCCAACTCTGTTATTCTCTTCTCTTCTCTTCTCTTCTCTTCTCTTCTCTTCTCTTCTCTT